TAATCTAAACCTCGTGAGCAAATATTTTTATTTGTCAGTGTTAAGGTCTTAGTGTTAGTGGACTCAAGTTAAATATGTATAGCTCTGTAGTTGTTAGACACTCCAACATAGTTAGAGGTCAACATTCATACGATCAAGTACATCAGCACTATGTTTGGAGGAGGGGGGGGAAAAGTCCTCTAAAGTGTCACTTTGTGGTTTATAATTCTGGAAATCAAGTATAGGGAAGCAGTTAGAGGTCCCCCTCGTTGTTTCACTAAAGGCCAGCCTGTCAATTAGGCAACTATTAGGTAACCCATAATTCTGCCTTGATTCTCAGCAGGACAATTGAGCAAATGGAAGAGCTACATTAGTCATTGTACAATTGTTCCCCTGTGCGGATGGCAGGCTCTCTGTGGAAGCTGTGCCACCTCCCCACAAAGGCGGCTTTGCAGTCCGTGAAGGAGCGCGGCAAGTGGGAGAGCAAAAAGGAGTTTATCCTGTCTGTGACTGGCGCCACTGTGGGACTTGGCAATGTGTGGAGATTTCCATACCTTTGCTACAAGAATGGTGGAGGTAATTGTTGTTTTGTCAGTTTTTAATTTGCTAATTGAAGGTTATGAAATTGTTTCCTGTATTTTTACAAAGCAAATCTGATCTAGTTTTAATCTACATCATAATGCAACATGTGGTAATTAGATTAATCCAGTTTGACTTTTCATGAATATGTAACACTTTTTCTTCTATTTATCAGTAACTGATCTCTTATATTTTAAGAAAATGGCTGTTCATAGCTTGCACAAGCCATTTTCATTTTTTAATTAAACTTGTCAGAAAAGACACTGTTCCCATTTAAAAAAAATTTTTTTTGTGGTATCTTTTTCTCTTTCCCTTTTTTCATCTAATTTACAAATGTAACTTGTTTGGGAACCATTTATTCACAACTATTGGAATATTTTAGCATAGGAAGTAATTTAGGCAAGTTGGCAATGTTTTAATTTCATTCGTATGTAGTATTAAGATGACAATAGGACGATAGTTCTTAAAAATACATTCTGATGCTTTTTTTTCCTGCTTATTTTTATTTGTTTGTTTTTGTGAGGTGTCGGGTTGACCAAGTCCGAGTGCCAAGTTTTATTCAAATGGAAATAAGTAACTATACAGCTGAAAACATCTCTTTTAGAAAACAAACCCCAATGAATTAGGAAAGAGATTAATAATAATAATAATAATAATAATAATAATAATAATAATAATAATAATAATAATAATAGGTATTATTATTACTATTATAATTATTATTATAATTGATAATAATAATTATTATTATTATTATATTATTATAATTATTTCAATTGTAGGCATTTATCAGAATTCATAAAAAGAAATGCGCCCATATTCAACAAATGGGAATATGCAATTTGATGAGGCTTGCTTGCCAGATTAAAATACTATCTGAAAATAACCTCTCAGTATTAAACGTAAGTTCACAGTTTTCTAGTAAAACTGTTTTATTGGTCTGATGTAATACAGGGACAATCGTTTTTGTTTTCAGTATGAAAATATTCTATATGCTGAGTTTCACTTAGAGTATTGAGTTCCTTAAAAAAATGAAATTTGTATTAATATTTATATATATATTTTTTTAAATTACTGTGCAATACTTTTTCAAGTTCTCTGTTGCGTACCACGCTTCTCGCTCAATGACCGCTGGAAATAGGCACCAGCCCCCTTCGCCAGCCTGAGAGTGTTTAAATACTGGATGTTACACAAAATGATTATGTTTTATAATGCATTTTCTATCTTTATTAGTTTAGCTTTTTAGTGGTTAAATTGGACGTATTGTAGTTAAATGTAAACAAGGACAATAACACTACTAACATGTAAGATTTTATTTATTTTTTTAATGCTGTATTTGCTCTTAGCATGAGAAAATAATTATAAGTCACTGAACGAAAGACATCATGACCAGCAAAATTTAATAGTATTATTAAAGTACTAAGGTACTACTTATCATTTCAAAATGCTTTTCTTTCAGTCAAGAAAAACTTAGTTATGAGTAACTAAGTGAGCCACAGAGAAGCCAAATTCACACTGGAGTTTTATCACGGATTTCAGAACATAGTAGATTTTTAATGGCTTCACATAACATACTTTAATGCTTAATACATGGAGTAAGAAACATAATATTTTCTCTAAAATCGTAGCCGTTTATAGAGGACCAGTTTTGGTCCTACATAGCTGTTCACTATGCCTCACAATTACTCTTTGCACTCATGGTTAGTATTTCTGGAGACATGGACTAGATACTTCGGGACTTCCATTATTGAGGATATGAAACCATAAGATTGCGAAGACTAGAGTCTCTTTTGTGCCAAGAATTAAGCTGTAGGATTTATTTTTTTAAATACTGTATGCAGGATCTAATGACCTAGATTGACATGTTATCACAAATTTCAAACATCTAAATGAAAACACTAAGCCTAATTGCGACATGTCAGATTATTTAAAACTATTGAAACAGTGTCACCTAGTGGTTGCTCATGATTTAACAAGTGGGGAACATTTCGCATAGTCAGGTTGGTTTTGATAGTTTTTTCTTTGCCTTAAGAGCTGAAGTCATCCTTTGAAGACTGCTCTTTGGTCTGACTACATGTTTGTTGTGGTGTGCTATGTAGAAATAGTGGAATAAGCAGGCATCACACGTAGCTCAGCTTCAGTACTCTCTTTTACTCTCTTCTTCCTCTTCTTCATACCGCATGTCTTCTTATCCATAGTCAGAGCTCCCCCTGCTGTCCTTTACATGCAATAACAAGACATAACAATGTTCACAGCTTTTATTAATATTTGTTGGCATTTTCAGGGGCATTCTTCATTCCTTACGGACTTTTTCTTGTTACCTGTGGAATTCCCATGTTCATACTGGAAACATCACTGGGTCAGTACACCAGTCAGGGGGGAATCATGTGCTGGAGAAAGGTCTGCCCCTTATTTGAAGGTAAGTAAGCTCACAAACACTGTAATAATTAAAATGAAATGCAGTAAACTAAAGAAAAACCAATAATTATGTTATTGGTTATTTCTAGGATTGGGATATGCCAGTCAGATGATTATTTTTTATGCTAGTGTCAGCTACATCGTAGTTTTGGCCTGGGCTTTCCTCTACTTCTTCGCTTCGTTCTCTACAGAGTTGCCCTGGACAAGCTGCAACAACGTGTGGAATACCGGTAAATTCATTAACTATGACAATAAAACACATGTTGTTAAGACTGTAACTGGTTAAAGAAAAAACCTTAAAGGGTTTAGACTTACGATGCATGTAAAAGCATTGATCCTCATTGAAGTTTTCCACATTTTGTCGTGTTAACTCAAACAAAAATATTTACGTATTTTGTTTGAATTTAATATGACGGTCCAATATAAACAGAATTATGACAGAAAAAAACCCCATAAGAAACATTATCAAACAATATCAGCTTTTAACATCTCACAGAGAATGATTTAATCCAACATCTGAGCCAAAAGATCCACAGTAGCATTGAAGGAGCTGCAGAGATTTACACCTGAGACGTTTATTAGTCTAGCACAGCACACAACTATCATTTATGTAAGAGTTGGAAGAGGGAAGGTGTCCTGAACAGATTAGACTAAATATTAACCTTTTGTGTTACATGCAAAATACTATGTATAAACATCTCCCCCAATAACACACCATTGCAAAGGTGAAATGTGTTGGGAAGATGCATCACAGTTCATAGCGAAGATGGAGGGAGCTAAATCTATGCCGATTCTGGGGGGGGAGACATACAGGTGAACTTTCTAGCAGAACAAGACCACAAACACAGAAACAGGCACAATACAGTTTATATCAAGGCATGTTTGGTTTATGTGTTAGGAAGGCCTAGTTAAAGTTCTCAAATCCAGTTGAGCGTCAGTGGGAAAACTCAAAATCTGATGTTCAGAGAGGCAGAAAGTTTAGTGAATTTGACAGGAACACTGCAAAAGGCAGGAGGACTGAATACATATGCACAGATTAGACTTTGTATTTTTTGTATTAGTATTATTTTTCTTCCACTTCACAGCGATGTAAATGTGCTCGTCTATTGGATAAAGTGCAAATAAAATACATTGAAGTTTTGCTGTGTGACAAACCCATGGCGGTGTTTATCCTTTCAGAATACACATTAATTTCACTTCTAAAACTTTTTAATATATTTCAGATAACTGTGTGGTAATAAACCACTATAATGGCTCTGCTAACTGGACTGGGAGGAATGCATCTTTGTCATCCTCTGTTCTGGAGTTTTGGCAGTAAGTCCTGGAACATTTTTGGACAGACAAACTTTCTTCATCGCTCAAAGGATTCTTGGCTCCCTCTTGTTTAAAATTATATCTAATCAGCAAAAATATGGGAACACACCACTATACCAAATATATTAAGAACCTTGAATGGCACATTTGGGTGCAGGGCTTGTGAACTGATGAAGATGAAATTTTGGCATTAGACATTTTGTTGTAAACCTTTGTGATCTGTCAGTCAGGACATGTAACTGATTAAACCCACATTATACCTCAGGTTGTTGTGTATTGCAACT